ACTATCTGATTTTTATATAGAAAGGCCACTATTGCATTCAGTGTGTGTGTGTGTATATGGAACCTTCTGTTGAGCTCCAAGTGGATGTAGATTATGAGGCACTAACGGATGCTTAAACCAATTAACCATATATTCATAGCTAGAAACAAAATCGCAATTTGGATAATGATTGTAATAAATATATGGAACCTTCTGTTGAGCTCCAAGTGGATGTAGATTATGAGGCACTAACGGATGCTTAAACCAATTAACCATATATTCATAGCCAGAAACAAAATCGCAATTTTGATTATATACATCTCGCTTTCGTGGTGTTAGATAAACGAGTGTCTCTGGATTGGCCAAATCTGCTTGGCTTTTAGCATTGAAATTGCATGAAAGAAAGGCAAAGCTCAATATATGGGCAGATAGATTAGCTTCACCCTAATGTTGTCCTGCTGTATTGTGAGTCAGACAGATCAGGTGAAATCTTTTATAATTTTTTTTTTATTCTAGTTTGATAGTTATTGTTATGCTCTGAATCTATTAAAATATATTAAATTAAAAATAAAAAAATCATTTAATTTTATAATGTTTTTAATTAAAATTTTATACGTAATTAATTTTTCCTTATTTTTTTTTCATAAATTTTCTATTTTAAAATAAATTATTTGTTCTTCCTTGTGTACTAATTTTTTTTAAAAAAAAATCTGCAATAATCTAGATAGAAAATTTAGTCTAAAATAAAAAATTTCTTTAATATTTTTTTTATAAAATTGTATTGAAAAAATAAAGGAAAAAATTATCTAAAAACTTATGTAAAAATTGATTTTATAATATTAAAAAATAGAAAATGGTAGCTATTATATGTATAGATGCATAATTAATTTTTAATAAAATTAATTAATATAATGATTATTTTTATACATTATGACTATATTTAATGGGTTCAAACTATGCAATATAAAATAAAAAAGATTAAAAAAAACCTAAGTTGTAAGGAATATATTGAATAAATTTGAAGTTAATAATGCAAAATAAAAACTACTACAAAATCGTTTCAATAAATTTTAATTATATAAAGAAGAAGCAAATAAAAAGCATGAATTTCTTTTTTTATTAATTTTTTTAAAAAAATGAGACAAATAATCTATACACAAACACACACAATTATGCTATTCTTATTTAAAAATCATAACAATTCATCATATAAATTATATTAATATATTTTAAGAAAAAAATAATTATGTCCTAAAATTTTATTTCAAAATTCATATATATAAAAAAATAGATCATATTTATTAAAAAGTAAAATTATATAAAAAAATAAAAAATTAATTGGATGAGAATTTCATAAAACATAACAAAATAAAGAAATCAATTTTAAATAATAACAGTAATATAATTTAACATATATGTTTATTTTAAAATTTGAAAGCATATTTTATATATTTCGATGAATACGCCAACGACGTTTATGTCTGCAACTTCTAGCAAACATGAGTTCTTAAGAAAAATCGTTGGCATCTTCATCGAAAAATCAGAATTTTAGTTTTAGACCTCAAAACTCAATTTCATCATTATTTTTGTCTTAAAATTACTTTAAATAATGTCAAGAAAATCGTTTAGAATCTTAAAACATATTTCAATGCAAATAAAAACTATATAAAAAACCAAATCAAATAGAAAAATTTAAATTTTTTTAGGATCCAATTTAACTCCTCCAACTATTTTATATTGAAACCATTATGAATAAACTTATATTTTCAAGATAAACAATCTAAATACAAGATTTGCGATTAGAGTGATTGAAATCGAGTCTGGCTTTGGTTTTTTCTTTTATCTCTTCTCTCTTAGTTTTTTTATCTTTTTGTATATAAGAATCAAATCGCGATACAAATAAGGTTAAAAATCAGAAAAAAAAATCTTTGAAAACATCAGGAATCAAATTGCAATATATGACAAAACTCAAAATTGCCCGCAAATCATAAAAATGCCAAGTCCACTGTGAAATTGGATGACAGTAAACAGTAATTAAATAGAAGCACGTCCAGATCTTTTAATTTTTTGTAATGTTCTCCAAATGTCTTAAAGTTATTGTGTTTCCGAAGTTAAATGTGCACCACTGTACCCGTCATGCAGTTACGAAGTTGAGGAAAAGTCAAAGCTAAGAAATTGGAAATCCAATAATCAAGGATCTCTTATATGCGTGTGCGCTAACCCAAAAGGTATTCCTCTACATGACAAATATGAGATTATAGTAAACACTAATTAGATATTTATATTACGTTGTGATACGATAATCGTTGTATATAGAATTAATAATTCGCATGATCTGATATAAGTAGAAATTTTATTTTTAACGATTAATATAAATCGAATCTATATATTAAGTAAAATCGTTTGATTTATATATATTTATTATCAAATTAATTTATAATATGAGCATAAAAAATTTTATTTTGAATAATTAGGAGGTTCTTTCAAAACATTAATTAAATTATTTTATTTAAAAATACAGATTTTAGAATATGAAAAAATAAATAAAAAGTAATCGGTGTTATCTCGTGCGGATCCGAAATTAATTTCTAACAAAACTATATATATATAAGCAAATAAAATCTACAAATTCTTTTTAACTAATTATTAATTTTTTTATAAAAATTGAGTCAAACTATCTACGACACATTTTTAGTTATCTCTTTCTCTCATCAGAATTTATACATGCAACTATGCTAATCTCATTTAAAAATTATAAAAAAGAATTGATCGTATAAATAATAATAATATATTTTTAAAAATAACACAATCACGTTCTAAAATTTTATTTCAAAATTCATTTATAAAAAAAATATGAATAAATAAAATTATATAAAAAAAATTAAAAAATTAATTGGATGAGAATTTTAAAAGAAACAAACAATTGAAGAAATAAAATTTAAACAATAAGAATAATATATATATTCAAACTAAAATATTAAAATATATATATTATATATATTCTATTACATCAAACTAAACGTAAAACTAAAAAAGTTAATGATGTATTTTCTATATTTTCAAACTTAATTTCATGATAAAAAAATATTAAAATAAATTATTGGAAGGAAAGTAAAAAAAAAAAAAAGAGAGAGAGAGAAAAGAGGGCAGACATGTGCAGATAGCCCAGCCCAGCTATGGTGGGTCTATGAGTTAGGCCTGTGCGCCAGGCTCTTTAGCCTCCTCCACTCCAGGATTGGGTTGCTGGGAGCCCAAAGAAAAGAAAAAGGTTAGGCATGTGCCAGCCCAAAAAAAAAAATTATAAAAACAAAAAGCTGCAACTTCCATGAGCTTGAGCTATTCATAAGCTTCCTCAAAAAATCAAGTCTCCATTTTCAGACCCAAAAAAATCAATATTGATATTTTTTTTTAAACACCTTTAAATGATCGAAATAAAGTCAATAAACACTTTTAAGATCTTAAAACTCAATTTAATGCACATTAAAATAAAAAGAAACATAATCAAATCGAATTTTTTTCTTTTTTTTGACTCGATCTACATCATCTTATCATTTAATGGCTTAAAACTATTATGAATAAACTCAACTCTCAAAGATAAAAAAAATCTAATGGAATTTCGTTGATCAAAGTGACCAAAATAAAATTGACCAATGCTTTCTCTCTCCTCCCCTCTCTCTTTTCTTTGCTCCCTTCTCTCTACTCTCAAGGACCAAAATGTATCAAAAAATAAAGATATGGATCAAAACAAAAGGTTTTAAAATATTAAAGTCCAAAGTATAACATTTTGCATAATTTCCATATCATTGCCGTATCAAAATTCAAAAAAATAACCGAAAAGCCAAGTTATAGTAAATATACAGTGAACACCTCAGTTCTTTTTAGTTTTTTTTTTTTTACAATCAGTAGGTAGCTTTTTACATGAAAGAAACCAAGATATATAGAACAGCTATTGAGAACAAACAAAGGACAAGGAAGAGAACAGGCAACCCTGGACAGAGAAAACAAATCTTTGGTGGGTTAAATTTATTGGTTCTTCGAGCTTTCTGTACTGCTAAAAACCATGAAATATAGCAATATTAACAGTTATAAACTGCACTGTGATCGATAAGTCTATTCTAGATTTCCAGTCAGACATAATATTGATAGAAGACAACACTGAAGGAGTACAACTACCATAGCGAACACTAGTAATAAGCATCTACTTGAGACTAATATAATCCTAAGAAAATTAAAAAACACAGAATTGATCGATTAGCCTTTCTTCGTGTTTTTTTCTTATTCTTTTTAACACAATAGGACTTTTATACTAAGGTTTAATAAGTAACTGCCTTTATTTATTTATTTCCATTCAAAGAAATTTGTTATATACAATGAGTGTTAATTATAATTTATTGATATAAAAATATGATTAATCTTTTAGTGTGAAAAATAATTAAATAGGCATTTGACCAGTGTTAAAACATTATTAATTTGATAGTATTTTACTTAAAAAATATTTTTTTATCTCATAAACCTTTGCATCTCTTTTTTTCATTTTTCTATTTCTCAAAATAAAATAATTAAAAAAGAACACAAATTAGATGAAAAGGATTAAATTATAAATAAATTATAAAATATAAAGATTAAATATATAATTTCTAATCATTGATTAATTTGTTTTGCTAAATAACAGGACTAAGTTATTCTATACAAAAAAGATATTCCTTCCGTGTCACTTTGCAGCCACAAAGTCTGTAACCAGTGACCCCGTTAACAAACGGGTATATGATAGAGTCGTAGAGACCACTTAGTCTCCCTCAAAACGCCGTCGTGTAAGTAGCCACAGACCCACAGTCATTTTTTCTTTTTTCTTTTTTTATCGACTTCTTCTTCCTCCCTGCCATAAAAAGTGGTCGAAATTGAAATTTGGAAGTGCTGATTCCATCTCTACAAAATCCCAAAATCACAAGAGACCCTGAAAATGGAAATCTATTAATTAAACCGTAACATTTGCACTATATTGATCCAAACCCTTCAATTCCATGGCTAAATTTCCCCTTTCCAGATCCACATTGCCCTTTAACCTCTTAATTCTTATGCTCCATCTACTAAGTCCCATTTCCACTCTCTCGGTTGTAACCCTAACCAGCAAAAATCCCAACTTCGATCCCCAAATTACCCTTCTCGGCGACGCCAAACTCTCCAGCGACGGCTCTCACGTCCAACTCACCAGCTCATTTCCCTCAAGTTCTGGTTTTCTCGTGTACAAAAACCCCCTCAAATTTCTGAGCTCCAGTCCTGCCAAAGCGACATCGTTTTCCACTGAGTTCTCGTTCTCCATCTCTGGTAATGGCAACGGTCTTTCTCTTTTAATGGGTTCTCGTAATTTTGCATTAAAAAATCTGGGTCAAGGTCAGTTTGGGGTCTTGAGTGAGAAAAGTTATCTGGGTGTTGAATTTGGCTCTTTAAAGGACAGTAATGTAGGTGATCTTAATGCAAGTCTTGTAGCTGCAAGTGGTAGCAATGTATCATCATCTATGCATTTAGAGACAAATAGTGGGGTGAAGTTGAAATCTTGGGTCGATTATGATGTGACTTCGAAAAGATTAGAGATTAGGCTAAGTAAATTGGGTGATGAGAGGCCATCCAATCCAGCTATTGCATATTCAATTGATTTATCAAAAATGTGGGGAGATAATGAGGTTTATGTGGCTTTACAGTCATTTAATGGCCAGTCTTCAGAGACTTGTAGCGTGTACTCGTGGAGGTTTAGGCTAAGAAAGGTGCCTAAATGGATGCATTCATTGCCAGCTGATCCACATGGTTATGTGGATAAGCCTAAAGAGGAATTAAGAGTGCATAAGAGGAGGTTTTGCCCCTTGTCAATTCTTGCTGGGATAATTTTTGTGACTGGCTGTGGAGCGTTGTTGGCATTTGCGGTTCTGTTTGCATGGGCAGTTTTTGTGAATAGGCACACTGTTTTTCCAACCGAGGGTGACGCAAAGCCAGTGGATTTCAAGTATGAGAAGATCAGTGTAGTTGTGGAAAAAGATGGGGAAGTTGTGAAGGGTTAAGAATTTGAGCGTGTAGAATTTAAACTTCTGCTGTGCATTTACGTTGTTTTTGTGCTTGTTGTTACCAACTTATGCGATTGAAGATTGTGATTTCTTCTGTTCTGTTTAGATGTCTAGCTGAATGCAAATGAATTGTGTTACTGTTATTTATGTTGCAACGTAATCAGTGACATTTGTATATGCCTTACCTAATGCTTTTGTGGTAGTGTTACCTGTTTTAAATGTACGCTATATTTTGGCCGCCAATTCTTGCTGTTTTAAATTTTTAGAGTTTGGATAGATTTCTGTATGATTGTTTCAAGAAAAGCATCCCATGTAAAGTAGTGGCATGCAGGCTTGCTCTATGATTGTTTTTGCTGCTAGACAACAATGGGATGAGTCTGAAACTCAGAATGACGAGTATTCAGTTTGTCACGCTTCAGGTTGTGACGCAACTGATTTCGTTATCCTTCTCAACAACAAAAAATCAGTGATCAGTAATTTTGGTTTCTTTTCTGTTTGTTGAATAGAAATTAAAGCCGGTTGCCCTCTATCTGTATGGTGCTACGAACATCCTAATAATCTAATTTCCTTACACTACCAATGCTACAGAGGAGCTTTAGTGCTTTACCTTGCATTCACAAAACATTAAGCGTGCAAATGGTTAAGAACTCTTGGAGGGCTATGGTGTCCAAAGAAAGTCATGCATGTAATGTGTTTGATATGTGGACTGATGGAAGAGCATAAGCAATTTGCACAAATTTAATTCAAATCATAATCAAGGATCTCTGTGCAGTAATTAAAAGAGCAATGGAAAAGAGCATGAGCCAGGAATTTATAGAGGCTTCCCTTATCACTTGTGCTCCTCTCCGTAGAATTATATTTAGTCCTTTGGTGAAAACCTAGAATTACGTCGATCATAGAAGATTTCTTTCATGACTCAAAAGGTAAAGGCTACCTCACCAAAAATTGTGGGATCATAGCAACCTTAAGATTTTAGTAGTCTTTTTGGTTAAGTGAATCTTCTTTTAAGATGGAAGGAGTATGTCAAGGTTTTCACGAAGAGCTATCGGGTCTATTTACCGAAAGGGAAAGCGGTATTTTTCTAAAGCGCACGGTTTTGAGCAGGGTTTTAGCATGAGTATTTCACTGATGCATAAGATTAAACCATTCACTTGCATAGAACCATAATGAGAATTGTTTGACGAGCTCTTTGATCATCCTTTTCGTTGTGAAGGCCTGCAAAGTACTTGTTCAACATCAAACTTGTGTTATTCGTTTCCACTTGCTTTGATGCAAAAATACATTGTTTCCACTGCATCACAGCCTTTGCTTGATCACATGGACTTAAGCTTCCATTGATATTGATAGATTAAACCTGCGGTACTTGTTAGTCCTAACCCTCCAAAATCTTATTTAAATCTTTAGCGCAACTTAACCCTAACATATGTTATCATCAAAATGCAAAGGTTCAGCAGTCTCGTGTTAACACTCAAAGGTAAAGAACTTCGCCTTTTCTTTGTTTAAATAAGCCATTTGCCAAAGGCACAGGTTTTGAAATTAATGGTCCATGTGCATGGTCGCCACTGTGGCTTCCAGTTCCAAAGGTCGAATCTCTCTTGATGACTTATAGTAACGTCATAGCAACCTTGGATGTGCCATCAGCCTTGGTTCGTGTTTAATTTGCAGACAGTAAGACTGTGGTCAGCTGTTAGCTACACGCCAGGCTAAATAGATATGAACTGGTGGTGACAGATGAGTCATGGTAGTGCATCGGAATGATGTTTTGGATCACCCACCATCGTTTGGGCTGATGCTGATGGTTTCAATTTCCAAGTTCCAACACATTTTAAACTCGATTCCAGGCCGTAAATTTGTGTCCAAGATTAGTATAACCAATCATACAATGATTTGCTGGACCAAATTGTTAGTTGACACTACGCAAGCTTGGAGCTGCCTCAGCCCAAAGGGCTTTGGAGTGGAGGATTTCAACATTATCTTCTCGTAGCGCTACATGTGAACATGGCTTTTGGTCATCCACGTTTGAGTCTCTTGAATATAATTTTATAATACATAAAAAATAATTAATGATATGTATAATAGTTATTCAATTGATCCATTTTAAAAAAGCTAGACATTAAAAAAAAAATTAAAATTAAAAAAAATAAAAATGATAATAAAAATAAAATTTCATAATAAATTTAACATATATAATGTATCGCTATATAATCATTTTATTCTTTCGTATCCAAACTATATAGAACTATGAAATATTCTTATTAAAAACTTTTATAGAGCTAGAAGGAATTTTAGTTTTTGGGATAAAGGATGCTCATGGATCAAAGTCAAAGTGAAAGTTGATGTTTATAATTGGAGCATAAATTGTTTCATTTTGGATGAGGAAAAAAATTGTCTAAACAATTTTACCTATTTTGATTACTAATGATAACTATGTTATAAAAATTTTGCTCTAAAATTTTATTGCATTATAATTACATGCCTACTTTGTCCAGAATCGTTTTCTCCATCTCCTAAAACCGTTCTCCCCCCCCCCCCCCTTTTTTTTTTTTTTTCTTTTTATGATTCTTATTAATTAAGCTTGTACGTGTATTCTTATACAATAACTCTTTTACTTTTTCTTTTCTTTTCTTTTCTTTTTTTGATGGTTACTTAAAATGGAAGACGTTACACATCCTCAAATGAACTCTATAATTATCTAACAAAATTTTCTAAATACCCACCAGCTGCATCCTTCCAAATCAAAAGAAACGAATCTCAAAAAGAAGAGGAGCAACAAACATTTTCTGTCATTAAATGCTCCACCAAAAAAAAAAAAAAACACATAATTACAAAAACGAGCTAAAAAGATAAGAAGAGAAACAAACAATAAATGGTAATTACGTCCCGATACAAAAACCACTACGTGGCACAATCGAAATTGCACAGAAAATATGAAGGTGAAAAATAACAGAAAGGATGTTCAGCTCCAATATCAAGAGCTAAATATTGATTTTTAAAACCACACAACCAATCAATCGAACACGCCAACGCATCCAATACAGTGAAAAATAGCAGTATAAACGAGTCTCAATGTACAGTTACAATGAGTTTAAGCGCACCGTAGAATGCACAAGAAGTTAACAGCCAACTTCAATCCTGTTAGGGTTTTTTGTTAATAGCAGAGGTTTTTATTTGCTAATCCTTTTGTTTACCGGTTAATTTTGGACTTGCGTGGGCGGATATGTTTGGTTAGGAGTTGTGCTCTCGATAGTCGACTGGATAAGAAAGTGTTGGAGATGACAAGACATGAGAGGAGGCAAAGGAAGCAAGGGAATGGCTTAACCAGGAATTCAGAAAGCAAAAAAATTCAAGGATTTGATAAACCCATACATTTTCTTGCAATTACAACAATGCCATTAACTTTCTTTCACCGGTTGAAAGCTTTAATATTTAAAAAATATGCCAGGTTTCGTTAAATTGTTACGAGAGGTCAAAAAGAGAAGGCACTTCGCACCCTTCAACTTCAAACGACCTTGCTGACGCAGGCCTCCCACCATTTTGAATTTGTTTTTTTTTTTTGGCATTGTATTCTTCGTGCAAATAATCTCAATGGCCCCAGGAATCTCTCTAAAATAATCAGAAACTTATTTGGTATACTTTTAAAATGGGTTGCCTTCTAATTAATTTGATAAAGATATATAACTCGGTTAATGGTTTCTGTCGTTTTCGAAAATGTTGTAGTAAAAACTATTTTATGCCAAAATTACATTACAATAGAATAATAATAGTGATGAAATCGACATATGTTAGCTTGTAAGGAAAAAAAAATTGATGAAATAGTGCTAGCTAGAGCATAAATAAATAGTTAATTGGTTTTCCTTCTGGTATTTGGTAATCATTTACTTTGCCATCGAATAAAGTTGCTTTTATGCCTTTTTTTCAGCCACCAGAACCTAGCAGTGTGGCAATGTAAAATTGTGGGTTGGAGTCTTTGTAATTCAAACTTTGTCATCATGCTTCAGCTAAGATATCAACTGACTAACCTAACAATGTTGGCTTAAAAGAAAAAATTTCTATTGATTAAGTAAATATTTTTGAATTTAAGTTCTTGTATATGTTAAAAAAAAAATTAATTATGTTTTTTTATATGTCTGGCTAAACAATAATAAATTAATTTAAATTTTTAGGTTTGAAATATTTGAGAAGAAAAAAGTTATCAGCGATTTCGTGTTATCTTAGGAAAATTTCTGTTCAACCTTAGAGGCTTGTTTTCAGAAAAAAGTTGGTCGAAACAAATCCTCGGTTAGGAAATAACAGAGCACTAAACTCCTCATATACTGGGTCGGGGGTCGATGTCGAGAATACTGACAATAGACAACCCAGAAAAGCACAACTTCTAACAACCCTACAATATGGCGCATTATTATTCAAACTTTAATAGCATGCTTTATTCTATTTGCAATTGATTATATGTTTCCACCTTAATTAAATCTTTCTCCGCAGCTTTATCACAAACTTGCTTTTCAAAGCGAAATGACTCTTCTTGAAAATACATATAATAATTTAAATATTTGAACATAAAGTTTGGGTCCACATTTCGTTCGATGCAAATAAAGATTTTATAGGAAATCGTAGGATGATTACTTCTTATAATAATGTGGGTAATCAAAGGCAAGGACAGTTGGGGAAAAAGGAAAAAGAAAAGACACCAAGGCAAGGAATGTTTCAACAGCGAATAGAAAAATACTAGTTTTTTTTACCCACGTTATATTACGGATTAGATAAAATATATAAACTTATTTTTAAAAAAATTATTTCAATTTGATAGATTGTGATATGATGTGAATCTACAAAAATATATAAAATCAAAAGTAAAAAAAAATTATTTATAATTTTTTAATCAAAATTTTATATATAACTATTTCTTATTTGTGTTTTCATGATTTTTTTGCTAAAAAGGGATTTATTCTTGTTAATCTATATATTATTAACTAAAAAGTTAAATAAAAATTTTAAAAAAGTTTTAGTATTTGATAAGATTGTGTCAAAAAACTAAAATAACAATTAATAAAAACTTACATAGAATTGAACAAATAAAACAATTGTTATTTTTATTTTTATTTAATGTTGATGAGAATATCATTTTTTAAAAGATTATAAATTTAATTTTTATATATTTATGCACAAAAAAATGAATAATATTAAAATAAAAAATATATCAATTTGAATCATTGAGTGGTCATAATTTTAATTATTTAATTTAAAATAAATTAATTTTAGAATATTTAAAAATAAATAAATAAATAATAAATGCTTAGTGTAGTAGTAGTTGCATAGTTAATTTATAAAAAAACAACAATTCAATATTTTTTTTTATAAATCATAACTATACTAAGTGGGTTTAGAGTTTTCAACATAAAACAAAAAAACACTATAGAAAAAGGTTAACTTGCAAGGAATATATTAACTAAATTTGAAATTAATAGACTAAAATAAAAATTATTAAAAAATTGATTTCGATTAATTTTGAATATATAAAGAAAAAACAAATAGAACACATGAATTATTTTTCATTTTTTTTTTGTCCTTCTTAAATAATTTTTTATTTTTATGCTATACATAGTTAGTTCTTGAATACGAGCCTCACACGCAATGCAACCATCTTTTTTTGTTTTTCACATTTGACTTTTAATTATTAATTAACTATTTTGTGTTTTTTGAAATACACTTTTAATCTAAAAATGTATTTCGGACAAATTATATATAATAATCATGCCATTATAATTTAAAAATTATATAAATCTATTTTTCAAAAGAAAAAATAAATCATATTCCAAAATCCATACATATAGAAAAATAAATCAAAATTGTCGGTAAATATAATTTTAAATTAATTTGATGAAAATTTTAAAAAAAATGACAAACTAAAGTAGTAAATTTTAAACAATACAAGTAATTAATAAAAAAATATTAAAACAAAATAGGACCAAATCATAATACAATTGACGTTTGAAATTATATATATATATATTAAGGATAAAAATATCAAAAAGATGCCATGAATAATGAAAAAAATAATGATTTATGAGTACGTGAATAGTATTTTATGAATATGTGAATAGTATTATGAATAGTATAAACCAATTTTGTTTTAGTATTTTTTATTAAAATGTTTTCTTTTTTCATCAATCTTTTTCATATTTTTATCTATGTTTTTTCTTTATATTTCTTAAAACAAAAGGAAAAAAAAATTGGTCCATCCGATTTCATATGACGAGTAGCTTGCCTTTTTTTTTCTTCCTTATTTCATAGGAATGAGTAAATTGCTATTCTAGGGTAAATTATAACATAGTCTCTCTTTCTTAGGAAAAAAATTTAATTAATCCATCTAATTTAAAAAATTAACGTTTTTGCACAAACTAAAGTAGTAAATTTTAAATAACATAATAATTAATAAAAAATATTTAAACAAAATGGGACAAAATCACAATATAATTGAAGTTTAAAATTAATATGTGTATATATATATATAGAAAAATTAAAGACCAAAGTATCAAAAAATGCCATGAATAATGAAAGAAATAGTGATTTGCAAGTATATGAATAGTGTTCTGTGAGTATGTGAATAATATTATGAACAGTAAAAACCCATTTTGTTTTAGTTTTTTTATTAAAATGTTTTCTTTTTTCATCAATCTTTTTCATATTTTTTTATTTTCTATTTCTTAAAAAAAAAAAAGAAAAAAAAATTGGTCCATATGATTTCATAAGACAATAGCTTGCCTTTTTTTCTCTTCTTTATTTCATAGGAATGAGTAAATTGCTATTCTAGAGTAAACTATAACTTAGTCTCCCTTTCTTAGGAAAAAAATTTAATTAGTCAATCTAATTTCAAAAACTAACGTTTTTGTCCTTTTTTATTTTTTAAAATGTTTTTTTATCATCAATATTTTACATATTTTTATCTATTTTTTATTTTCTATTTCTTCAAACAAAAGGTAAAAAAAATAAAATTGAAAAGTAGACAAAAGGATAAAAACGTTAGTTTTTGAAATCGGACGAAATGAGAGACTAATTTATAATTTATTCTAGAATGGCAATTTACTCATTCCTCCTTCCTTTCTCGCTTGTAATTAGGAGGATAACCGTGAAGCTTGTAACATTTAGCCTTCACATGCCCTGCTATTTGACAATGCTCACATCATAAATTCCTTCGATGTTAGAGCTCCACATCCGATTTCCTTGATTTTGATTCATATTATTCCTACTCATGAAGGTAGCTATAACATCCTCTATAGGCATGAAATGTGAAACCTCTATTTGCTTCTCTTTCGTTGAACCATGAAGTATGCATCTTCCACACGTGGCAATGGCTTCATGAGTAAAATTTATCCTCTAACTCGGTTTAAACACATCATTTAATCTCATTAGAAAATGCATTAACCTCTCGCTCATCTTACTTGTTCTTCCCATGCCTTTGTAACTTCACGGTAAGCATTTGCTCGCATAATGGAACGTGAGTCATGGTTCTAACTCATCCCATAGTTGCTTAAGTTTGGTGTAATAAGTCTCAACACTCATATTATTTTGATTGCAAGTTGAAATTGCTTTACGCAAACCACAAATCATGGTACCGGCATTATTGGAGAAATGTTTCTTAAGATTTAACCACACGATAGTCGTTGTACTACGATGAAAGATTGATTTCTCAATTTCCTTAGAAACAACACTCGAGCAACCAAGAAATCACCATATTATTGACTTATTCCCATTATGGAATGCTTGGATCTCCTTCTCTCGGTCTCAAAAGATCACCATTGACAAATCCAAGCTTATTCTTACATGCAAGAGCTATCTCTATGGATATGCGCCATGGAATGTAGTTCGAAACTCCTAGCAATGGTTGATTCACAAGAATCATACCGAGCACACTCGAGCTCGTCAATGGCGAGGGATTGAAAGTCGCCATCGAAGATGTTGGAAATCCACAATCAATCTACCATTCTCGTTCACGGTTGTTGTTGCCATGATCCGAAACCCTTAACTATGATCGATTCCGCTCTAATACCATGTGAGAAACCGGAGGTAAGAAGGGAAGAAAGAGCTAGAATGCAACACTCGATTTTTGTTCTATTCAATCGACTTTACAAAATGTTAGTTAAGGCTCTAACGGCTATAACATATTTAACGGTTTAAAATTAATCGATGTAGCTAACTAACCTTCATTAGTCAATTATTTAGAAATGCGCCATACATCACAATATATATATATATATATATATATATATATATATATATATATATATATACACATTAACGGAAAAAATATCGATACGATAATGAATTCAAATAAATAAATAAATGCCAAAAAAAATGGAATCAAATTTTCTACCTCTAATCACATACTTATCATGAAACTGTTCTTGATATTTTCATGAAAATGGAATCAAATTGATTTTCATTTTTTACAATTCCAAACGGGATCTTAGTTGTGTCGACTTAGGAAATAAATCACAACTTCTCTTCTATTTACAGGGCACTGAAAAAGACAGTGTTGACAGAAGTTGCCACGTGTGAATTGGATATTTTTTCACGGAAAGGGAATGGAATTGAAGAAAAACTGGCTTTTTGGTTGGTTTTTATCATCTAATAGAAAATTGTGAACCAGTACGAGTACTACTTTTCACCTTCGTGTAGCCCATCAATTTCGTCCACTCTACCGCAATTGTTTCATTTCATCAGCTTTCAATTTGTTATTTTATTTCTATCCAATAATTTTATCAACGGAATTTATACTTTTTTTTAAAAAAAGAAAATCCTAATCCGATCTGCCATCTCACTAAATTGTCGATCTTCCAATTCCATTAACTAAGCTATTCTGTGCCCAAAAAAAAAAAAAAAATTCTATCGAAGGTAGGTTTTTTTTTAAAAAAAAATTTTTCATCTACTTGTCAAAATGGTTAAAATAAAATTCACCGAATTAGCTTCTCGGAAAGATAAACAGTAAAGTTCATAAATAGCTTTTAAAAAAATTGTGGGCAGTTTATGCATGTGCTTATTCTGCGGAAAATATTGTGCATACGTTCAGCTGTTAGGCAACCAGCAAGGGTGCCGTGTAAACAATAAACAAGGAAACAATACACGAAGAAAGCACTTTTGAAAACTCAAACTAATGACCGAACATCCACTAACAGTCTCCACACCGCCAGACGTCCCCTCGCACCGTAACATCTCCATTCTGCACGTGGTGTTTCTACCCAACGATAACAATTGAAAAATTTATACATGGACAACAGAATTCCCGACGCATATCCTTTATCGTCACGAGTTTGTTTTGACCATGAGTTTAGGAGCAGTACCAAGGATTAGAAACTAATCATCTTCTGCATATGCTTTATATATATACATATATCTTTAACACACACATACATATGTGTGCGTGTGCGTTAAAGATGACAGAGGATCCTAGGCTATTTTTTTTTCAATTATTTTTTATCTTAAATTCAACTTTGCATGTTTGGTTTCTGTCTTATATCGTCCCTCTATCGTCTTTTAGATTAATCATATTAACTTGTTTTTTTTTCTGTCTAAATCTCATCAATCTACTTTATGTTTTATTTTAATCTTATTTTTTTATACCAAACTTAAATAAATAAATTTTGAAAAAAAAAAAAGATGTATCCTGCCCTTTTTTCTTTCTAAAAGTTGAAAAAAAGAAGAAGAAAAACAAAAAAAAAGGTGAAACTAATTTTTTTTTATTCAAAATATTCTTTAATGGTTTAAACTTATCTATATGATAGTAAGTAAATTTTGAGTATAAAATAAAATATTTAGATTATTTAAAAAAAATATAAAGAGAGTTTTAGTTAAATTTTAGTTTTTTGAACAATATTTATAATTTTATAATACCTCAAAAAAGTCTACTATAATTAACTTATTTTGATTTTATAAATTTTTTAATTTCACTCAAAAGTGAGAGTATAAATTTTGTTACAAATTTTAGTTAAATTAAAAATTACGTTAGTTTTTGGATCCAACACTAACAAAAATTGATATTTTCATTTTAAAATCAAATTAAGAAATTTATAAAATAAAAATAAATAAATTATAACAGACTCATTTGTGATATTAAAAAAATTATAAATACCATTCAAAAGTTTAAAATTTTAACTAAAAATATTTTTGCATTTTTTTTAAATACTATAAATAATTTATTTTATATTCAAAATTTTCTTACTATCATAAATACAAATTTAAGCTCATAAAAGATATTTTGAATAAAAAATATTTTTATTTTCTCTTTTTTTGTTTTAGTTTTTGTGTTTTAAAAAGAATGACCAGATACATCTTCACATTTTTTTCTTCAACTTTTAATTTTTTAAAATTTATTTATCTAAATTCCATAAAAAACTAGAATAAGACGAAAAAAATAGAGTAAAAGTATAAGATTGAGAAAAAAAAACATTAACGAGAATGGTGAGATTAAGACAAAAATCAAATATAAAGAGATGAATTTAAAAAATAAAAATAAAAAGACACAAAAAAGACAAAAAGAAGAGCAAAATGACTTTTGCAACCATTAACTCATTGAAAATTATGAATAAATACACTTAATAAAAAAAATCATTTAGTACACGTGCAAAAAAAAAAAAAAAATCCACAATATGTTTTACATAACTTCTTTTGTATCTTAATACTTTCGGTGTGAAGAGGGTGATTTTTTTAGGTATAAAAGGGATTTTGGTAATATTTTCTTAAATCTATGATTTTTTAAATAGCAAGATATTTAGGTCTAAAAGGGATTTTAGTAATATTTTTTAAATGTATTTTAAAAGGAATAAGTTTTCAAAATTTTGGGTGATCTGGAAATACAGCCCCAGGGCCATGGACCCTCCAAATCTCTTGAAAAGTTTATTTATTCCTTACTCGAAAGTTCACTTATTTTATTTACCACTCCATTTCTTTTTGTTTATCTTTGGATGATTCTGATTTACCCATATTTGTTTACTCCAATTACATACTCACATTTATAAAAGATCATCAGTAATTTTCGGGGTACAAATTTCAATGTATAGTTATCATTTACCACGGTGATCTTATTTTTACGAGGGGAGGGAGTAACGGACCAAGTTTCTCACGTAATAATACTCGAAGTTTTATAGTGGCACGTAATTTGAGGGAAAATATCAAACCGATTCAGCAAGTTGGCGAATCATATTCATGGGATCTCTTAACGAAAACAACTGCCACTAACCCATTACGAAAAGTAGAGAGAGAGAGCAGCAGCAGCAGCAATAATGATTCTCTCTAGATCAACAATTTAGGACTAAAAAAAAAGTCTGATTCTTTACTGGCTCGTATTAAATCTCTGCCTAAATATATATAATTGCCGTGTATATATATAGATAAGAGGCAGATCCACATTATAGAATCTGGCTGTCGCACACATAACAACCCAAGAGGCAGAGGGCGAGCCGCTCTTGGTAGGAGGAGGAGAAGAAACAAGAGAGAATCAACACCAAGAGCCAAGCTTTTTGATGGAAGTCAATGGAGATGGAGCAGGGAATTCTACCAGGCCTCGAAAAGTTATCGACGAGGAAAACTTGGCAGTTGAGATTCCTGACACTGCCCATCAGATAAGCAGTGGTTTGTTTCCCTTTCTTTTGACATAATGAATCAGTATTTTCCCTTTTTTTTTTGGGATTTTGTGTCTGGTTTTGTTCATTTTTTTGTATAGTCCATCCGTGATATGAAAGTGGTTGTCTGAGTAAAAACACAACACGTCTCGGTTTCAACTCCTTGGGATGTTAATGAAGTTTTTCCTCTTTTAAAAAGAAAATTTGGGTTAATGGGAAATTGGAATTCTAGAGTTCTATGTTTTCAATGTTTTCTGATTGATGTCTAATGGTTTTTTTTTTTTGGTACACCCTTTCTGATTGATTTTTCAACATTTGGTTGCCAATTGTTTTAGGAAAATGGATTTTAGATTGCCTTTTTTGAAACATCTAGTTTTGATGATGCAACAATTAAAGTTGATTAGATATTTGAAATCCTTAACTTTTAAATGAACGAGAATGAGAGGACAATTCGATGGTCTTGCTCCGTGGAAAATATATTCCTTAAACATGGTCCCCCAAATTTGGCTACCTGTAATATATTTCTACCTGTCGTCTCTATCTGGAAATCAAAGGAAAAGGGTGTTTCATTTGTATTTTAGCTGAGTTTTGCTGTATTTGAGTTATTATTACTCTGAGGTCGTTTGATTTTCTGTATTGGAATTTACAGATTCATGGTTTCAAGTGGGTTTTGTCCTCACCACCGGTATCAACAGTGCCTATGTATTGGGATATTCTGGGACCATTATGGTTCCTTTGGGTTGGATACCTGGAGTAGTAGGTTTGATTCTAGCCGCTGCAATATCATTGTATGCAAATTCTCTTGTTGCCAAGCTCCATGAATTCGGAGGGAGGAGACATATCAGATACAGAGATCTTGCAGGATTTATCTATGGTATGTGAAAAAGGAAAATGAACAAGGATGTATTATACATAATTCTCTTTAAATTAGCCATGTACATTAATTTATCGGCATTTCCTATGTTTTTGGGGCCTTTTTGCTGCAGGTAGGAAAGCTTATTCTATTACCTGGGCATTGCAATATGTTAATCTTTTTATGATTAACACTGGATACATCATTTTGGCTGGATCAGCTTTGAAGGTAGCATTACATTAGGCATATTGGCTTACTTTTAACTGCAAGATTTACATGTCAGGTCGATCTTTTTTGCAGTTCATTATCCTCTTTTAAGGATGAATTTTTTTTTCTGTTTTTCATCAAAATCTATGCATTTTGCCTTCTTCCGTTGTTTTACATCAATTATTTAATTAGTTATGAACAAGCCACAGCCTATAAGAGGAACATTGATTTGAATTCTTCTCACTGGGTGTAAGAAGTTCATTTTTATGATGATATGAAGTTACTTCCAGGTTTTTCGTTTCTTTCATTTTCTGGATTTCTTTTTTCTGATTCTATTTATTTACTATGCAGGCTGTCTATGTTCTTTTTAGAGATGACAATGTCATGAAACTCCCATACTTCATTGCCATTTCTGGGTTTGTATGTGCCTTGTTTGCCATTTCGATTCCCCATTTGTCAGCTCTGAGAGTTTGGTTGGGAGTTTCCACGGTTTTCAGCCTGATATATATAGTTGCGGCATTTGTGCTTTCTGTTAAAGATGGTAAGTTTACATGATGTGATTTTTTTTTTTTTTTTTTGGTGCTAGAGTAGATTCTGTAGTTTGCATTTCATTCCAGTAATGCCATGCACCTTACTTCATGCTCTTTCCCTTTTACTATTTGATTGAGTTGAAGAAATGAAGGATTTCTTATGAGGGGGATATTGCAAACCCTCGTGCAGAGTCTGTAACTGCAATATGTTTTCGAGTAAGATGGAAAATACATCCTTTGGACAAAGCAATTCTTTATGCAGCGAGCCAGATGTGTCAAATGTGGAACATATATGATTCCTGCATTTCATTTGTGGGACATCCACAGTTCTTTGGCTGTTCTCTTTGCAACCAACTGGGAATTCGCCTGGTCATAACTGCTTAGAGAGAGGGAGAGAGAGAGAGAGAGAGTGCTATCTTCTAAGGAAGCATCATTCCTCCCTTTTCCTTCAATGCCGCACACTATTTTACATGCATAGAAATAGTAGTAGTAAATTTGATACACAGTTCCATACAATCCTTAGTTCTCATCAAACTTGGTTGTGCATTTGGTGTTTGTATGATTTGATTACTGTTTCCATACTGTATGTTGTCCCTGGATTGTTGGAAATAACAACTTATAGATCATATTGCTTCCAAGAGTTTCTTCTGCTTAAAACTGTTTGAATTTCATTTTCCTTCAATTTCTTACTACTTTGTTTCGTGTCCTATTTGCTTACTTTGAATTCGAGTTCGGCCCTAACTTACAAATTTTTGTTTTTTGCAAATTTTTCTAGCCATGGCCATTGTTTTTCTAGTTCTGAATTTGCATTAATATCTATGTTGCTGTAGGAATTGAAGCACCAGCCAGGGATTACAGCATTCCAGGAACAACGACAACAAGCAAAATCTTTACAACAATAGGGGCATCTGCTAATCTGGTTTTTGCGTTCAATACAGGAATGCTTCCAGAAATACAGGTAGGCGAGGGATCAAGTCCATGAACTTTTCACAGAACTTGGGAGTGTTTTTTTATCCAATTTTTTTTAAATGATGTCATATAATTGTGGTCTGGGAATTTATGCATTTTTATTGGATAAATATAATATATCTGGCTGTTGTTCTCTAAATGGTTTGAGATTTATCGACCCTATTTCGCGTAATCTTTGGAAACCAGTGCTTTGGTAGTCACAATAGTGCATACTTCTTGAGGTTATAAGCCATGTATTGCTATTTCTTCCCTTTTCTCTTGTTTTCTCTGCCTTCAAAACTTAGACGTCTTTTGTTGACTAATTTGCACCAGGCAACAGTAAGACAGCCCGTTGTCCGTAACATGATGAAAGGACTTTACTTCCAATTCACGGCTGGAATTTTACCAATGTATGCAGTGACATTTATTGGATATTGGGCTTATGGATCTTCAACATCAACCTATCTGCTTAGCAGCGTTAATGGTCCAGTTTGGGTGAAGGCATTGGCCAACATCTCTGCATTCCTGCAAACAGTCATTTCGTTGCATGTAATTCATTTAAGACTTGTGCTTTCTGAAAATCTCTTCTCTCCCTCTCTTTCTTTTTTTGGATCGCTGCGCTAACTTACATATGCTTCTTGTAGATATTCGCGAGCCCAATGTATGAGTACTTGGACACAAAGTTTGGGATTAAAGGAAGTCCATTTGCAATTCGCAACTTGTCGTTTAGGATCGGTATAAGAGGTGGCTACCTAACTATTAACACCCTGGTGGCAGCACTTCTGCCCTTCCTTGGAGATTTTATGAGCCTTACTGGCGCCATCAGCACCTTCCCTCTTACATTTATTCTTGCTAACCACATGTACCTAAAAGCAAAGAACAACAAATTGAATTCTCTTCAAAAGTTTTGGCATTGGCTCAATGTTTGTTTCTTCAGCCTTGCGTCCATTGCAGCAGCAGTTTCAGCTGTGAGACTTATTGCAGTAGATTCCAAAACATACCATGTATTTGCAGATTTATAGGGAAGATTGGATCCCGATTGATAGTTGGACCCTTTCTTATAGCTACCTTAATAAAATAGTTTATTGATTTTCTGCAATCCACAAAGCTTCACATACTCATCCAGACAAGTGTTTTCTCAGTGCTTGCCAATCGATGTGATTAGTTGTTGCGTAGTGGACTGATTGTGGCGATTAATTTCTATACTTGCAACTTTCTACGAACAAAATGCGGATGAAATCTCTTGGTGAGCAAAACAAACAAAAAAGAAGTATAGAAATACAAATCCTTGGAAGTCTCATTAGGCTCAAATATGTTAACGAAGAGAGAGTATGGCTTCAAAATACTCCTTCACGTCAGCCTTAAAGTCATGATGAGGAGAGACCCAATTCCATGCTTAAAAATGCAGGAGAATGGTGATGAAAAACATGGTCTGATTATATGCTGTGTAATCCAGAACCATAATAATTTAAAATGACCTCGACGAATTCATTTTGCAATCATTTGATTGATATTCTGATAAAGTCCGCGAAAAGCAAATGCCAGGGTAAAAAAGATGACACAACAGCTACATCTTGAAGTAGATAAACTAAAACAACTTGTGCTGTCCATCACATTACAGCCGTATGGAGGCTGTAGAATCCTATAATGGAGATTGGAACCTAGATAAGTTGTCGGTTAAAAAGGAGAAAATGAAAAGAGTGTCCTCTCATTCCTCCCTGTTTTTTTTTTCACCAAACATCAGACTTTGCACATTAATGAAATGAACAACAAATGTTCAATAGGAACCAAAAAGTCAAGTGCTAATTAACTTTTTACAACAAGACCACAACTTCAAAAGCATAACAAGCGTACAACATATCCACTCAAGCAACGATGTTCCTCGCATTAACATACAGAATCTATGGAGAAATGAACAAGGAAAAACATCATTGCTGCATCAAATCATGAAGAATAATTAGGTTGACAACAAAACACTACAATGTTATAGAAGGTTAGTTACTTCTGAAACTTGTCAAACAATACAAACACCAATGATATAATTGCCCCCAAATCCACATCATTTTCATCCCACATCTGAACGTGGTTTTTAAAGCAACATATATAAACTTAAAATCACGAATTTTTGTGAAAGGATATTCCAAATCAAGCATGTCTTAGATTTTCTGAATCACATGCCTCCTCTGCCTTTCTAAAAAGAAATCTTGGTTACAATCCAGTTAGCCAAACTCCATGAATGCTGCCACAGAAACGAAAAAGAACTCAATTGATCACACAAAAATAGTTTTAAACTGAAATTTATATCCTAGATTCAAGTTCAAACGACAACTTGTGAAATCCACATGAACTTTAAAAAAACAACAAGAGAAGAAAAGAAGCAATAAAAGAGAAAGTATCTCAAGCTGAAGGAACAGAGGTCTCCCAACAAAGAACTTTAAGCATTTGCTTCATACTTGGTTAAGAAGGAATCCTTTTCAAAACTAGCCAGCTTATTAGTTGAAGCAGAAAAGGTAAAAGACTAGTCAACGACCAAGCCATGTGCTAAGCAAAGGAATACATGGTTTTAATCTCTAATCATACAAGATTAAAAAAGAGAGTCATATCATTCAGTCACCATTCTTACTATAATATTTGATGTCATATTGTATTTTCCTTTATTTGCCAAGCTCAATTTGCCTCTGGCAGCTCCAGTATAAAGCCAACCCAAAGCTATGACACATAGTTTTCCTACTGATTAATTTTAAGAGGAAAAAAAAAAAACTTTTCCAAGTACCAATTGCATTTGCATTCATCCACTAATTTCTGTGGTACTCATTACTGATTTGACACACTGTATGAACATAAATCAGAAAATGGCCTATGAATTCTGTCTCATCTTGTTAAACGAGAAAAAAAGAACAATTGAACCCTTACTCAACGTGAGGCCTATCTAAACAATTAAATTCTTCAAAGCATACAACCAATAATTAAAGTCTAATAGTGACAACAGCTGCCAATCTCAAATTTTGGAGTTGTGTTCATGCAAACATTCTCAAATTTCTATCTCATTTTTCATAAGACCCATGTTAATTAAACAGCATCATAAGGAAAGAACTCAGTTTCTATCCGCTTTAGCATGTATGTTTAACAAAAAGTCCCAACCAATGGTAAGGGCTAACCCTTGTGTAGCCCATTGCAACCTGACAGAAAGTCTACCCATACAATCTATTACCAGCAATCACACATAGAGACAAACATATGAATGTGGTTATAACTTACCTCACTGGCATCACCCAGACACCATCTTTACAAAGATGCAGATGGAATTGAGTATTATAAGTGGAACTCTCATATATTGGGTCGCATAAATGAGACCTATAAGCTGCCCTTTCAAAGACTTTGTTCGACCAACAGAAAATTCAGAGAAGCTCCACCCTCTAGGTGCAAGAAAACGATCTTCATTTAATATTGCAAATGCATTCGCAAGAAGCAGAAAGCCCTCCAATAAAGTCCACAAACCCATTTCCTAAATGATCAAGAAAACCCAATTTCACATAGAACCCAAATTTTATGCTCAAAGAATCAATGAAATTCCAAATAATAAACAGTCAAAAGTACACAAACAGGCAGCAACTAGCAATTGTTAAAGACAAGGTACTCTTATGCATGTGAAAATAGGATTTCCCACTCTATCAACTCTGTGCTAGCCTATTAATTGTGCACATAAATATTATTTATGTCTACCCTTTTAGTTTTGATCAAAGCATAAAGTAGGCATATAAGCAATGTGTAATTTATCAAAACTGTCATAATTATAAACAATAAAATTCATAAAAAAAATCTCACGCATTGAACACGACAACATACAATGTCATCCTCGGAAACGTAAAGAAATCTGTCCTCAAATCTAATGCTTTGAAATGTCGCAAATTAGAGTGTTAGCCACACAAATCAAGCAGATCAAATTGAGAATACGAAAAAACGATGAAAACACTATATAAAAGAACCGAAGTTGCAATAATCAGAACAAAAAATGCTTAACCTGTACTAAAAAAATAGCCTGCGCTTCCTTGATACTTTGATCGCTGAACAAGTGTAGCTAATGGGAACCCAAATCAGAGCGTTAAAGCCTCTCGTCAAGCATTTTTGAGAATTTAGATTTTATAGCAAGGGCACGTTTGGTGAGGCAAAAATTATACAAGACGGGCTGTAAATTTTTAATGGGCCGCTTAATTTTTTTTTGATAGGCCCAATCAGTTTGTTGACATGGGGAAAAAAACAAAAAAAAAGAGAGAGAGAGAAACGCGTTTCATGTAAACGTTACGTTTTTGGTATTGCTCTTTCTCTATTTCGAGTCCCGATTCTTTATCAGGCTCCAATTCTCCACTCTCGCGATCTCTCTCTCGGATTCGACCGAATTATTCAACTTCAATTTAATCATAGATAAATATCTTTTCACTTTCGCAGTCATTTTTATCTGCTGCAATTCAACTCGATTCAGCTCATCCATTTAACCTGAATTCAAATTAGTGGTTGCATGATCAAGGTTAGTCTTCTGAAATTTGTCCTTTTTTTTTTATGTATATGAGATGCATTTAAGCTTGATTTTTCTGGATCATCTGTTTGTGAAGGTAATTTACAGGTAGGTGGTGAAAACAAGGAATGGCTAAAATTAGAGATAGAACAGAGGATTTTAAAGATGCAGTAAGGCACACTGCTGTTTCCTTAGGTTACAATGAGGTAAAAAAAATTAATCTTTTTTCTTTTTTCGTTTCCTTTTTCAAATTATATTTTCCGCTTATACGGTGCTGAATTTTGTGTTGTGTGAATGTTGCTGTGTTTGCTATTTGACAGTCGAAATTGGCAGCCATTATGGCGTCTTTTATCATTCATAAACCACGACAAAGGTCGCCGTTTACTAAAGCTGCTCTTAAAACGGTATGTTTGATGCTGCCACTGTCCACGAGTCTGTTTGTGCTATTGTTGTTTGATTGTTTTATTATTTTCTTAGGAATAAGTTTATGTGTGTGTGTATTGAAACAGAAGATGCTTCTGCATGTTAGACGTGACTGACATTTTTTTTGGTTAATTTGATGTATGTATTAGCTTGAAAGCATTGGAACTTTAGAGCAATTTATGTTGAAGCATAGGAAGGATTATGTCGATCAGCATCGTACCACTGAACAGGAGAGGGATAGTATTGAACAAGAGGTAAGTTGTGGGGTATTATAGTCTGTCAGGTCGCAATGTTGCATATAATTGGAGACACTAGGAATGCTGGAGAATGGATAATCTTTCAACTAACTGTGCTTAAAAGGAAGTGAATGTTAGTATTATTTATGTTATTGGTTTTTCACCGGTGTTCTTTCTAACCAGTTATCTTGTTTTGATGCCTGGAAGTATAAGTGAGAATGCAAATTAAAACATTAGCCTCCCAAGTGGTTGATAGCTCAATGAGCCTTGGCTGTGGTAGATTCCTAGGTTTAATTCTATATCATAATTACCTATTTATTGTCTTTTTTATTGTGTTGAGTGTATAAAAAATTCCAAGTATGTTCACTAAAGCAGCATTTGAAAATAGGTTGGATTAATAGATCCCTTTTCTTTTGGCCATTTTATCTTCTCTATTTCTATCCGACCTTCGCATTATGGGATTGTTTTTCCTGAGCGTTCTCTGCAACATCGATTTCTGCAGGTTACTGCATTTATTAAAGCATGCAAAGAACAAATTGATATTCTCAAGAATAGCATAAATGATGAAGAAGCAAACACAAAGGGGTGGCTTGGCATCAAGGCTGAAACCTCCAACGCTGATACTATAGCACACAAACATGGGGTGGTATGGTTATTCTCTTCTCAATGTTTAATTGAGCTTATTCATTGCATGCTAATTTGTCTGGGAAATAAAATATTTAGCTTGCTGGAACAGTATCCTTCCTTGACCTAATCATCTTTTTATCTTCCTAATCTCCATGGTAAAGATTGTGATTGAAGTTTGTTATTTAATATAGACCTATTCTTCTAAACATTTATCTTAGTATGAATATTAAATCGATTAGGGGCCTTGGAGCTCTAGTTGTAAATTGTCTTAATTCTCAGTTGTATTAGATATCATAACTACCAAGAGCTGTAATGCCTCATGCATGTAGTCTGACGCAAATCCTTTTTGTTGTTATCGTTGTTGTGGTGGCAAGAGAGTCACTTCTCTTTGCTTAGTCGTAATAACTTCTCTTTGCTTAGTTGTAATACAAATTTCATTCTTTGCAGATTCTGGATTTGCTATTGCCTTCACTTTCTATATTCCAATCCCTGCATAGGAATCTCTTTTTCTTTTGGGCTGAAATGAAATTAAAGGAACTGTTTAGCTGAATTAATTTACCATTTTGCTACTTTTTAAATCTGTAGGTTTTGATTTTAAGTGAGAAACTTCATTCTGTCACTGCACGGTTTGATCAACTAAGAGCCATACGCTTCCAAGATGCTATTAATAAGAGGATACCAAGAAGAAAACTTAACCGGGCTACAAATACAAATACAAGTCCTGTTGATTCCTCTAAAACAAACAGTTTAGAGTTCAGGGGACCTGATGAAATTCAGCCGGTGCCTCTTAGAGTTCAGCAGCAATTGTTGGATGATGAAACTCGTGCCCTACAGGTTATAAGAAATAGCTATTGATGAGATTTTTACAACCTTTTCCATTATCAGATTCTTCGATCGTTCAGATGGGTTCTGAGACTGGTATAACAAGAGCTGCTTGATGTTGGACTTTTTTGCAGGTGGAATTGACTAGTCTTCTAGATGCAGTTCAAGAAACTGAAACTAAGATGGTGGAAATGTCTGCATTGAATCACCTCATGTCCACACATGTTCTGCAACAAGCCCAACAAATAGAGCTTCTGTATGAGCAGGTCAGCATGTCTAGCTAGAATGTTTACATTTCTCCAAACCTCCTAGTATCTTTGTATTGAAAACCTCCTAATATTTATATGAGGCTACTTGGTTGAGTGGGTTCTGTCAAGTAAAAATCTGTCTTGAATGATAGTTCTAGCCTGCATTATGAAGAAGAAACTGTGAGCAGAATGTACCTTTGTATTTTAAACTTTGGGAAAAAAGAAAAAGAAAAAGAAATATCCTATTGAAGATGACATTTTGGTTCATTTTCTTTTGTATATGATCACATTCAGGTTGTCTGATCTAAGCTAATAGTATATCAATTACTTTCTGGGCTTAACTCTAATGCTTTGGATACTACAGAGCCTCTGCATCCATTGCAGTAGGGTGATTTTATTAGTGGATGGGTTAAGTGCAGTATTTTGCATCATACATTGAGTGAATTGATTCTTTATGCTACCAAATCTACAGCCACTTGAAATTACCATATTGGTCTGCAGTTGTATCAGAATTCTGTGATTGCGTTGCTGCATTTCCTAAATGGCTTCTCCAACCTTAGGGCAAGGATCTTTCACCCTCCTGGACTTCTTGCATTCCAAGAACAAATATAGAATGCAATCATCTTTTTACTTCAAAAAATGGAAAACACTTGGCATACTATTTGTATTGATCAGAAATGGTAGGCCCTTTTGATGTCAAAACGCCAAACAGGAAAATACTTAGGCTTGTTGATTTATAGATCAGTTGGTTTCTACTTCAGAGTAGATATTTGCTTATGAGGAGATATTGAGTTTAAATAGGTTTACTCAGAATACAAGTTGATTTAGGATCCACTTGGTTGAAGGCTGAGTAATGGACTGCTGTTAATAGCATTGTAACGTGTTCCGAGTTTCAGAGTATGGTATTGCTGTCTTGGTTCTTGGGAATGATTATTAAGCATACACTTGTTGAGCGGGGCTCATTCTCCTCTTCTCTCTTTTCAGATTATGATTTTCTTTAATTGCTGCTGCACATATCCGTTTGCTGTTTCAAGGTTAATGCTGAGCAAATCTTAACAGCAAAACTTGAATAAACTTTTTCTGATATTTCAAGGTTTCTGGAAGTATGTTCTCAAGTGTGATGAGATTAATTACGGCCATATATAGCTAGAATTCCTTAACAGAAAAATTGTATTCTTATTCACGGATATTCGTGGTTTTGTTTTAAAATGAAGTTATGTTTTGATACCTCAATTCTGATGCTGTTCTATGATTAAAACAAATTTGTGAAGGAGTAGTTTCTCTTCAATCAAGTCTTTGATTCTACTAATATCCTTTTAAATCCTGATATCTGATTATGAATTTTGCTGCTGCTGTAAATACCCGAGCAGATCAAACCTTGTTCTCTGCCACGTGTAATATTGCCTTTGTTTTATCATTTCACCTCAAAAAAAAAAAAAAAAAAAAAAGAGAGAGAGAGAGAGAGAGAAAAGGAAAGAAGTTGCCTGTGTTTTTGGACTTCCTATTTAACTGCTAATCAACTGAAAGGGTTTTCTATTTGGCTCTGTGATGTGTAATCCGTTCTCACACCTCCCTTTTTTATGTCATTCTGTAGGCAGTTGAAGCTACAAAGAACGTAGAGCTTGGAAACAAAGAGTTGTCCCAGGCAATACAGCGGAATAGCAGTAGCAGGACTTTTCTCTTGCTTTTCCTTTTTGTACTTACTTTTTCAGTCCTCTTTCTAGATTGGTATAGCTGAGCTTCTCATAGTCTATGTAGACTGTTGCAAGTACAGTTTCTTTTGTAGATTTTATTATACAACGGGAAAAAGAAATGAAGATTTATTATCAACAAGTGAGCAATTGTATTTGAGTTTGTATTTTCAAGCAATGTTGAAATCAAAATCTCTCCGTTTCATACTGAAATAGAGGCATGCATTTGTAGGCCTATAAGAATTTGTTATGCTCCCGTTCTTTTTAATTAAGTCTATGGTTTGAATTTTTTATGTTGGAAAACTCTCATTCAGCCAAGATTGACAAAATAACTTGTCAAACAGGCAAATCAACATAATTCCTGATGTAAAGATCATATGTCAAATCAAAGCAATGCAGGTGTGTAGTTAAGTTGAACGCTAAGGCTATGGCTATGCTGAAAGGTTAATCGTATACTTTATAATCGCACATCAAATGAATAAAACATGAACAACAATTTCCATTATAATTTATACGAGACAAACCTGTGATTTCTTTCCTGACTCCTCACCTCCCATTTCTCTTTAAAATTTCATTTATTTAAGTTTTGAATACACAAATTAGATGAAAACTCAGCTATCGACTTTGGCACTAAACCTTCTTCAATCTAACCGGCCTGGAGGTAAAAACAAGTCTTCTGAACGCAACAAATGGAGATGGATCTCCCTTATGGAAGTGCACATACTATCTTTCTATGTTATATTATGTTCTTTCGTTAATCACAAATACAACCAGGGAAAGGATTTGCATAGAAATTCTCCTCCAATTTAGGAGAATTTCCATGCAGTCTAGGATATGGCGCTCCAGTTCTATTTCTATGCAAGCTCCTGACCTTCGAAGAAAATTTGTCCCAAGACAACTCGCCATTCTCGAATCGATCAATCAATCTTGTAAAGTTATGTCTGCAAAAACATTTTCATCTTTTAAAGTTTTCAAGAAAAATAGGTAAAGATTTGCAATTTTGGAATACGTACTTGTCAGGGTTGATGGTTTTTCTAAAACCTTCATATTTTCTATGACCTGTCACCGCCTTTGCCATATTACCATCATAGGTATAAACAAAAACATCACTCTCGACCGCTACAATATAGTCTATGGCAGCTAGCTGGTTTTGGCGGTCCTTAAATGGCTTCAATTCCTCTTCTTTTGCCAGAGAGGAATGAGTGTATATATTTGGATACTTAGCTTTAAGTGCTTTAATTCCATCATGACCATAAATTTCTCCTGCAGCTATGTAAATTCTTGTATCAGAAGGAAATCCCATTGCCTCAAGAAACACTGCAGTCTCTTTTGGAGTCATAGGGCATAACCCTTTACGTCGCTTCTTTGTGCTATCACTCTTTTGCTTCTTCCAGCGCTTTACACTTCGTCTATATTTTTTTAACTCCTTTTTCTCCGTTTCTGTAAGATTGTGATTGCAACCTGTGAAAGCAAGGATGTCTTTTTCGTATCTGCAATTGGTACTGCTTAGTTAGCAATATCTAGCAAAGTGAAAACGTTTTGGTCATGTCATTTTTTTTTTTTTTTTTTTGTTTAAGTACCTCAAATGAAGACCCATGAATGGTCCACCATTCTTAAGTCTGTTGACCAACTTCTTTCCTAGCTTTTCAATTTCTTTTGCAAATCTTAGTCCTTCATACATTGCACGACAACGTATGCTTTGGATTGGAATGTCAACATTGTTAGCAAGGCGAGAATCCGAAAATGTAAAGTTGATCACCTTATGCCTTTTTAGTTGAACAAGAATTGTATTTAGGTAATGGGCAGGCTGCACAGAATAACTAGTCAAATTAAACATTTTTTCAAAAACATTAACGTAATTTTGAAACTCCAACCACAGAAACGTACCGTAGCCCAAGAAAGTGGGGAAATCTGTAGTGGCTTCATCTTCATAAAGTTAAGTGGGAGAGACTCTACAATCTCAACATCGTCTTTCATAACTTCAATGAAATTCTTCCAGTCAAAGATATCTTTAAAGTCACTGAATATATGAAAATTATTTCCAATTTGTAACTTATCTTATTTAATATATCCATTTTTCTTAGAAGTCTGCATACTATACCTTTTATCCTTCCAAAAGGAAGAGTGATCCAAAGAAGGAAGAACCAAAGTGGCATTCAAGATTTTGGCTATGGCAGCCATGTCACTAATCTGCATTTTCAATTAATTAGCACAAAAGAGAAAATGGGCGACAAGATTCTTGAGTAATTAATCGTACCAAAAATAATTGTGTAAATCTAAACTTGTAATCTCACCCCAGTCTTCATCTGGTTCAATCCACCATTGGCCTGAACTAGAATATATCCATTTGTATGGTTTGGTTTCGCTGAAAAAAGCAAAGATGCTATTAATTGCAAGTTAGAAATTTACGTACAAAAATTGAAAAAAAGTTAAAACTCAAATGTGAAAAAGAACACACACATGCATGCATAGGGTAACAAGTTGAGCCATACAAAAACTAATGGGTACCTTCTTCTTTTTCAGATCGTTTAGAACATTTATGTAAGCTACCAATATTGTAGGATGGCATCCAAATATCAGGATCCTGGCGATTAGAAATAAACAACCGAAACAACAATTATAGGCAAAACTATCACAATTCAAAAAACTAAATAAACAACCCAAATCAAAATCCTAAAATCTAGAAATAGGATGAAAAAAATAAAAAGCAAATAAAATCAAACATGTAATGCGATTAGTGCATGATTAAATTACAATTAGTATCCGGAAAAATGCTTCTTAATCACTAGCACTCAATTATATTGTTATTATTTTCATGTTAGACAACAAAAAATTACTCATCCCTAACGACTCAAATTCTCAATCTACTTGACAAAAAATTACTTTTAGTATATCAACTTACTTCCTTAAATTTGCATGCATGAAAAAATTATTATCACATTACAAGCAAGCATCAACTTTTGACAATATTGATCAATGTACTTCTTAAGTTGGATTATGCATGTTTTACAAATTACGAATTTCATGTGTACCATGTTAGCTAGTATTTTCCAACTTATCCATCTCTTCACTTACACATAAATCAATTCAAAAAAATGCCTCAAATCTAGCCAATGACAATTTTTTCATGCACTTGACTAAAGCTTAACAACACTGCTATGAAAACCAAAGGGAAATTCTAGTTTGTGCAAAAACCAAAATAGCTAGAGCAAAATGATCAATCATGGAAAATCTCCAATCTCCTTGCACAGCCTGCTTGACCTTTATGTTATAGCAGATTAAATTAATTAATATTTTCACACTGGCATTCATGTTACTGCCATTTGACACTGGTTAACAATCAGAAGCTGACAGATTATAACTTTAAGCTACCATCCCTTCATTTAACCAAGATTATGCAACAGATAGTAAGAGTTAAATGCATGGCGAGAGTAACGTAGTGCATGTTAATTAGTTAAGGTTAGAATATATAAGGGAGCCAGAAACATGAATTTGATGCAGGCTTCTCTCAGGGAAGTTGCAATGGCTATTTACGAGGATTGCCCCACCACATCAGGCGATAATGGTCTCTACATTTTTACAAAATTAAGTAGAAAAAAATGCTTAATAGTACTAAAAAGATGAATAAAACAGTTGGTAACGGCACTGATGAAGTAAAATATAGAACGAAGCCCTGTGATTATGTCATACAACTACAAGAGGCCCTGAGAACAAAAATGGGCAAATAATATTAGGTTTCATGTTTTCATAGCTGGAATGGGGTTGTTCGGTAGCCATGATCACAGACACAAACTTACTCAAAGAAATAAACAGAAAGAATATTTGTTAACTTTCTATGTGGTCTTCAATCCCATCTCATCCCCGCTGTAGCTATATGCATATCTGGGCTCATGCCCACCATCGTAATCGTTATGTTTCTTCCTCTCATCAAACCAGGACTCGTAGCCAGACCAAGGACTAATATTATCATAATAAGAAAACTGGGTTTCTTCACTTTCATGTTCATGATATAACCATTTAAAGAGTTCAGTATCTATATTTATATATAAACCGAGAAAAAGAGAGAGAGAGAGAGAGAGAGAGAGAGAGAGAGAGAGAGAGAGTTTAAAGTATCTAACCACAAACTTCATCTTAGTGCCATGACCATCACCATCATTTCCCTCTTCCACATCATTATGATCATTTCCCTCCTCCACATGATTATGATCATTTCCCTCCTCCACATCATTATGATGCACTTCTGCTTCAGTTGCGTTTTCCGTGCTAATAATGTCCGTTCCTGGTAGTCGAGATTTCGGCAAAGTCTTGAACAATACAAACTCATGTGCCATGTTAAAAAATATCATCAACGTCACACTTACAAATATAAAGCGCCTTATAATTTTCCTCAACCTCGAGAGTTTTGGCAATTTTCGCACTCTTTCGTGAAGGAGTGTGCCAGGGTTTTGCATTGGTAGCATGTCCTATTCTTCGATCAACTCCACTACTCGCCCTTAAGTCATACACAGCATGAGTTTTCTTTGACAAGTAATGTACACGGTATTTGCAGTAAACAAAAACTAAAACTCTTGCTTATGAAAGGTACAAGAGTTCAAGTGGAGAAACAAAAGGAAATCCGAGACTGAAAGGAGTTCATCGAGCATTATGGATGCACATGATATAATTAAGTAGATCCAAAATTGAAAAGATAAAAGAGAGAAAAGAGAGATGCAGTGATGGTAAAAGCGTTTGTTTTGCAATTTTGGGTTAAGTTAGTGATAAAGAAAAATAGTAGTAGGAGCTGAATACAAGTCGAGTATCTCTCTTTCAATTTTGTTGGAGGAAGAGTTCTAGCAGTATTTAATTTTTAATATTTTTTTTTAATTATTTTTTTGTAATCTGTTACCACTAATAGCTTGTTTTTCTCCTTGTCACTTATCCTTTCCTTGAAATTAATTGGTAGTTAATTAGAACTCCAAGACAAGAAACAATAATTTCAACCGAGAACACCCAATTATAAATTACAAAGACGTCTCACCAAAGACCAGTAGCATCGCGTCAGTAACTGACGTTTTTCACGGGCCAGAAGGCCTAATAAACAGAAAAGCACAACTAGCCCAAAACGAAACTCTTGAGTGAATTTTATAATGGGCCACGGGCCTAACTCAAACTTTACGCTTATAGTATGAGCTCTTCTACCACCGGACTTGTTATAGTTATTTCAAGAAATTATAATTATAATGTCTTTAAGTTTACAAAATAATAAAATAGTGTTTGGGATAAAAAGTGTAAATACTTATTAATTTGTAATCGTTTAAAAATGATTCTTTACAGTTTAACCAGTTTTTTTCCCCCTTCTATAAGATAACAAGAAATTTTTTATTGAAATTGTACTTAATTGTGCATAGCTATTATAATTATATAACAGTTAAATAATTCACGAAAAGATAAGATAATTTCACTGAATATTAAGTAAATTTATTTAATAGTTTTTAATTACTGACATATTCCAATGTAAATAGTTTTTATCGTTTTGAAGGTAACAATACACCTTTTAAGTAGTAATTGTACAATAATATCAATAACTAGCATAGTTATGCATTAATTTATTGAGTAATAAGATAAGTTATTAACTTATCACGGTACTATAAATAAAAATAAAAGTATATGTGTAACTTGAAAGCATTAATTATATAATTATAATGTATCAAGTACGTAACTATAGAAATTGTCTGCCTTTCACTGTATAAAATTAGGCTAATTGATTAAATTATTTTAAATTAAAGAAAAAATCCTTTTTTTATTCGAATTTTTTTATTATTTTTTTAATCTGCAATTAAATTTTTTGATCTCGGTGAACGCTCTCGAGCTCGAGCCACATTAGAAGCAGCTCGAGGCTGTTAGCCATTTTTTCCGAGACGGTTTCTTCTCACCGAATTGAAAGAGAGCGAGTCAGGCCTGCGATTGATGCTGGCATGCCTTCTTTATACGTAAATGTTTTAAAAAAGAAAAGCATCAAGTTTTCATTTTTCTTAAGAATTTGCCTTTTTTAAGCTAATAATTGCTGCAATGTATATTTCTCTCTTTTTTAGGCTTTATGTGCGGGTAACCATCTTAGGTTATAGAAGGTAATAACTAAGCTTGACTTCAATACTCTGATTTTAATCTGTTTGTTTTGGTAATTTGTATTTTACGGATTCTGTTTGGTTACCAAGAAATTTGTATAAGAGAAGAAAGAAATTAAGGGTATTTGGGTTAGGTTATTCAGAGGCTTTTGGGTGTGATTCTGTTGTGCTACTTGAGTTATTAGCTTCAGTTTCGATGTATACAGTGAAAAGTTATCCATCAGAGTTTATCGCAAAATGTCAGTATTTGCTAGTTTCTGTAGAATTTCTTTAAAAAAAAAAAAAGATTCAGTTCGTGTAATTATGTAAAATCTGTTATGTTTTTATTGTCTGCTCCCATTTGGTCACCTATCAAGTTATGATCAGCTAGAAATAGTGGACCTTACAACTTATTCGTTGTACGTTTTTTTTTTTTTTTTTGTTCTTTATACCCATAATGTGGTCTATAATCAACAAAACTAGGGATTTGAATGATAGGAAATTGGCAATTGGCCTTCCTTTCTGAGAAGTCCCGGAACTTCGTTTTTCTTGCAACTGTGCATATCCAGGATGTTTTCCTTGTGGATCTTTTAGTATCTCGGGTTCCTATTGAACTGTTCGGATCCAGATTGTAGGCCTCAAAATTTATGGACTCCTAGGCTCCTAGCGGCTGCTTTTCTCTTCTGCCGACTGCCAAACTAATATCTCATCTCATGTTGGGGAGGCCAGATTTACCACCTCTTCTCCAGTGAGATAAATGATGAAATCTGAACCTGCCAAAAGAACCTTGCCTCCTACTTCCCACCCCACCGCACGCCCCAAACATACACACGCAGCAGCAACACCAAAAAAAAAGTGTAAAAAATAATGTTGAGTACGCAAATAGCTATTCCTCTTTCTTTTAAAGTGAGGTAGCCCAATCACCAATCCCGGCTTTTATTTGACCTTGTAAAAATAATGTACAGCAATTCAGAAAATGGCTTTAAGATGACTTGGGTTGTAAAAGATTCTTCTCTAACTTTTTCCTTTTTTAATAGATTACCAAAGTTGAGACTCAAATTAGAGGCCGTTTGCATCTTACTACTTTATAAGAGTTTCATTGAGCTACCATCCCATTGGTATTTTAACGTCTAATCATAGCAGTTAATGAAGCTTTTATAGCCCTTTTTACTAGTTTGTGTTGTATTTATGACCGAAGAGACCGCGCTACTAGTTAAAATGCTATAACAAAATGTAAGCTTCTAATTATAAAAAATAAAAAATCTTCCGTCAAATTGAAGGATGTGAAGTGGAAACACGCAAGAGATCGTACTGCATTTCTCGAGGAAACGTATGCTTTTTCACACGAAGGATGCATGATTAAGCTAGCTTAACGTGTTACAACTAACGAGAGCTCGGCATGTAAAAGTGTGTGGGTTGAGTGCTATTGGATTTTTGCTAACATTGCCAACTGAATATTTATTTTCCATCACGTTCTGTATGATCATTGTCAAAAGTTTGACTTCAATTAGATAAGATTTATAATTTTTTTTTCGAAAGTAGGAGTAGTTTTTATCATTTATAAGTGGATCTCGGTATTTCAACCGTATTAGCACGTTGCAGTATCAAGTGACTGAAAGAATTGGAATTAAAAAATAAATAAATATTGGACACTGGAATAAATAGCTTAAGTAAAAATAATAATTTAAAATTAGATGCTTAAATTACATTAAAATTAAAAAAATATTGGACACTCAAATAAATAGAATAAAAGATCAAACATTTAAATAGAAAAATATTAAAAATTAGATACTCAAATTGTAATATTGTCCTAAAAAATCGATTTTTTCCCAAATAATTTAAGTGTTATTTAATTTTTATCACACATTAGTTAAAAAATAATATGTGATAATTTATATGGAATGTATTAGTATTTTCGAATCTTAAATGACCGAGGAGATTCAAACAGAAAAAAATAAAAATAAATAACCTTAGTACTTGAGTGAATAAAATTAAAATTGGATACTCAAAGGGAATTAAAAAAAAAAAAAAAAAGACATTCCAATTACGGTTGTCTAGTTATATAAATGAGTTTTTTTATCTTTTATTTTGAATATGAAAGGTCAAGTTGATGAGATGTGTGTTAAGAGTATAATTGTAATGTATTAATATGTGTATATAGTAAAGTAGTGCGAGTGTAAACAATAAGGAAGCATGTGAGCTACGGAGGAACCTTTCCTCTGGTGTATATATAAATAGACACTCATTACTCGTTGTAACGGTAACAAACAAAATTCAAAAATAACAAACTCACACTTTACGTATGTTTCTCTCTCTTTTCCGTTCTCTCAACATGGTATCGAGCATCTCATCGTCTTCATCATTCACCAACCAAATCAAGCTTTTCTTCTACAAACCTTGTGATTAGTCTCTGTTTTTTTTTAATTAGTCTCTGTTTTTGAAGAGTTCACATGGCGAATCGGGTTGATAATGCTAACTTTCATAGAGCTCGGCTAGAGATACTAATGATCCTCTATATCTCCATCCTTCGGATACTCCGAATTTAGTTATTGTTTCTCATTTACTCGGAGGAGAAGAAGATTACAACTCATGGAGCAAAGCTATGATGATCTCCTTAGAAGCCAAAAGTCAAGATGGATTTGTCATCTGGACAATGTTTGAAACCGGATGCGGACTCGCTCGATTATTCACGAGTGGAAAAAATGCAATGCCTTGGTTCATGCCCGGATTTTGAATTCGGTATCCACACGATTGTTTAATGGATTGTTGTATTATCAATCGGCGGAAGAGGTACTGGAGAGATTTGAAGGAAAGATTTGACAAGCAGCATGGAGCTAAAATATTTGCTTCTGCACAAAGCGATTCACTCTTTAATTCAAGGTTCGGAGAGTGTAGCGAGTGTATTATTCAAAACTGCGAAATCTATGGGATCAATATGACTCATTGATTCCTATGCTCACTTATGTTTGTCCAAATTGCAAAAGTGAGGTTTCACAACCGTTTGTAGAGTATACACAACAGACACAAAATGATGCAATTCTTGATGGGATTAAATGACCATTTTCGACTTGTGAGATCACAAATTTTATTAATGAATCCCTTACCTACTCATTCTCAAGCATACTCAATGGTGTCCAATGAGGAATCACGACGAGGATTCTTCAAACATAGCAAGAAGTACCTACGACTTTCTACTCTACAAAATCTCACCATCAAATGAAGCGACCTTCCGATAGGATGAATTGGCGTCGAGACATCACCCGTGATTACCGTCATAATGCCGGTCACAACAAGGATTCTCGTTACAAATTACATGGATATCCACGCTTGAATAACAAGATGACTAGCGATGCAGAGGCGGAAGACAC